ATCTTATCAAAACTTTATTATTATTATATTAGTTGAAGTATGATCAAATAGCATAGAAAAATAGAACATTCTTTTCTCTATCAGACTATATACAAAGAAAGTCTCTTAAAGCTTTTTATAAGGAATAAAAGTACTACTGCCACTACTTTTGGATTGCCCTAAGTAATACTTGCTGAAATGCGTCGTGTGAAATTAAAAACGAAACTTCTTCTTTTTTGGATAAATAATGATCAGATGAAATGAAAAAATAAAGCGTTGAAGTTCATAATTTCCATCCAGAAAGACAAGCAAACTCAAGTGCAAAGTCTCTCGACAAAACTTTCAATGAATTCTATCGAAACTATCTTTTCTTCGAATCGAAATTACATTCTAATGCAAGATAAAAACAAAAGCGTAACTTACTCTTGTATAACTCGTGGAACTTCAAGTGTTTTAGCAATAGTAGCTTGTTTTCAAGTACTTCGGCTAAAATTCGATCACGTTTTTTATATTTTTATAATTTACTAAATAAAACAAAATAAACATCCCAATAAAATAGAAAGTATTTCTAAAGCATCATATTCTGATTTAATATCATCAGGTATATCAAATCGTTTTCTTGTTGCTGTTCTCGTTGAATAAGAACATTTTGTCCTTTCTGTAACATCACCTGTACAACGATAACATGTATAACTAAAATCCACAATATAAAAAACAGATATTTCTAAAAACAAAAAAGAAATAATTTACTTAAAAATAAGAAATACTCCACGTTCAGGATAATCTTCTAATGCTCGAAATGCCATACAATCTGCAACTGTATCAATTAACTAAGTTTTTGCATAAAATAATTTATTTCAAAGACAAATAATTAATGTTACATGTGCTTCTCCAGGAAGAATTTTTTGTTGATCATATGTTCAAGTAATTCTTTTAAAACATCATTTGGTATTTCTATTCTTAAAGCATATATATATTTCCAAAGTAATTCACTTTGTTTCTAAATACGCATAAAACCTCTAGGGTATGGGTGGGTGTCAGATATATGCGATCCACAGGTTTTGATCCGCGGGGTCCGCAAGGCCACATGGCGGCGGACGGGCGGGGGATAAAAAGTTTAGAAATACTCGAGGCGGACGGGTACGGGTATTGTTCAGCATACGGGCGATACGAGGCGGGTGAGATTGTAAAAAAAAAGATCGGGACCTTGGGCGGAGATTAATATGCATGGGTTCGGCGGGTGTAGAATTTTTTTGGGGGTTCGTCGAAGATCGTCAAAAATTACTGATACATGTTGTTATTCACCATATGCAGTTAGAAGTATATATTGATCGGTTACTTAGTTTTAGCCTGGTAACTACAAGCTAACTTGTTGTTTGTTTCTTTAGGTGACCCCGTCGTCACTAGAAAAATAATACAGTATTAAAGTCCCATTCAATCGAGCTGTGTCCACATTTAAAAGTTAATAACATTCACCCACACTCACCCACACTCGCCCACACCCACACCCACACCCACACCCACACCCACACCCACACCCACACCCACACCCACACCCACCCCCCCACACCCACACCCACCCCACCACCAACCCCCCCACACCCCCCCACCCCCCCACACCGACCCCCCCCCC